TATAGGAAACATTGGGAGAAGACGTTCTGCGGATGTCCACGGATGAGATTGTATCACGTACGCGACTTCTAGATAATGAAATCAAGATAATGAAGAGCGAAGTAATGCGAATTTCACATGAACTTCAAGCGCAGAATGACAAAATTAAAGAGAATACAGAAAAAATTAAAGTGAACAAAACTCTCCCATACTTGGTATCTAATGTGATCGAGCTATTAGATGTCGATCCACAAGACATGGGAGAAGAGGACGGGGCGGTAGTCGATTTAGATGCGCAAAGAAAGGGTAAATGCGCAGTTATAAAGACATCAACTCGTCAGACATACTTCCTTCCTGTGATTGGTCTGGTCGACGCCGAATCGCTGAAACCAGGTGATCTAGTAGGTGTCAACAAAGATAGCTATCTTGTACTTGAGACTCTCCCTGCCGAGTATGACGCCAGAGTCAAAGCCATGGAAGTAGATGAGAGACCTACCGAACAATACTCCGACATTGGTGGACTGGATAAGCAAATTCAGGAACTCATTGAGGCTGTTGTATTGCCTATGACGCATAAGGAAAAATTCGAAAATCTAGGAATACAACCTCCCAAAGGCGTTTTACTCTATGGTCCACCTGGAACCGGAAAAACTTTATTAGCTCGAGCCTGCGCCGCACAAACAAAATCTACCTTCCTAAAACTGGCCGGTCCGCAATTGGTGCAGATGTTCATCGGCGATGGTGCCAAGTTGGTCAGAGATGCGTTCTCATTGGCCAAAGAGAAGGCTCCAGCGATTATATTTATTGATGAATTAGATGCTATCGGCACAAAACGTTTCGATTCAGAGAAGGCGGGAGACAGGGAGGTACAACGTACCATGTTAGAATTATTAAACCAATTGGATGGCTTCAGTTCAACAGCTGACATCAAAGTGATTGCTGCCACGAACAGAGTGGACATCTTAGATCCAGCCTTGTTGCGATCCGGACGTTTGGACAGAAAGATTGAGTTTCCGCATCCCAATGAGGAAGCCAGAGCGCGCATTATGCAAATTCATTCGCGCAAAATGAACATGTCGCCTGATGTGAACTTCGAGGAATTATCTAGATCCACAGATGATTTTAATGGAGCACAATGCAAAGCTGTTTGCGTAGAAGCGGTAAGCTTGTATTTAATCTTAAAATCAATTACAGGAGCAATCACTTTTTGATTTATATAATATAAACATTTATATTATATAAATATTTTTTTATACTTTAATATCTAAAGCATATTTAAAAATTATTCTATTATTTAAGTAACAATTTAAGTAACAATTGATCCTATTTTTGCTATGTAAATAATAATCAAGGTTTGATGTGTTTTAGGGTATGATAGCATTACGACGCAACGCAACCGAAGTCACCCATGAAGATTTAATGGAAGCTATCAACGAAGTCCAAGCGAAAAAGAAAGCAAATTTGAATTATTATGCTTAATATGTGTTATTTATTTATAAGATATCTTTTGTATAATAAATATAGAAACGGATAATACTTAATACTTTCTAATTTTTCGGCAAATATAAAATAAACGAATGAATACTTTTTAAAGTTGCGTGTAAAGAGAAATTATGAACTAATATGAAATGTCAATAATATTTTATGTTATAAACTTTCTTTATATTACTAATATCATATTATTTCATATATGAATTATATATAAGAAGTACATTTTTACAGAAATTTTTAATGAATGTTTCATATTTGAAAATACTCAGAAAAAAATGATGTTGGACGAATTCATTTTTTATTTATTAATGATAATGATTATATTTTAAGTTTTTTACATTTGGGTAGATTATAAACAGATATTTAACGTAAGAAAAAATCTGAAAGAAAGAGTAACTTATATATTATTTTCAGCATGTATAAAATGCTTATTAAATATAAAATAACTTGTTCTGCCTGAAATGATAATATATAATAGAAGATATAATCATAATCATTAGTCTATAATTCTCATCGCCTTCTATGACTTCTTTTTCTGATTCTATAACAATGAAAAAATATGAAACATAAGTATCAATATATTCAAGTATTATATCAAGTATTATATCAAATTTAAAAAACAAATAATTATATAGTGATACTTACTTTTTTGGTCCTTTTACAAAGCACCAATCAACAGAAATAGGCTGACCTAGAATTTCTGTACCATTCAGAGCCTCCTTAGCAGCTTGTGCTTCTTTAAACGTTTCATATTCCACCAATGCATATCCTTTCAAAAATCCTGTTCTTCTGTCCAAATTTAAATGCAAGTTCTTAATCTGACCAAAGTCAGAGAATTTGTCTTGAATATCATCCTCTTGTGCCTCTTCATGTACTGAATTTATAAACAGGATCCATCCTTCTACAGCTGAAAATATATGAAGAATATTAATTAATAGTTTTACAAATAAAAATAAATTGAATTAGCAATGCCAAAGAAGACATTCTTACATCTCTGAGGGCCAGGTTCATTGTCATCTTCTTCAACCACATTCATGGATTCATAATGACCTACGTCATCTCTTGTCGAGACTAATTCTGCACCATGACCTCTGCCCTTCCTTTTCTTCGCTTTCTCCTTAAGACGAGCAATGCCCTCTGAAAAAATATTAAAATAATTAGAACATTTTTTATCACCTATGCATTTTCATGATCCAATTACCATCATTCTCACAATTCACAATTTCAGCTAAAAAATTGATATCTACATTATCGATATTATTCAATTATATATTATTTCAAAATTCATAAAAAAATACAGTCCTCAACTTATTAATGGACACATATATAACAAATATATATAAAATATATATAAATAAAGATAAAAAAATAAATACATTTCTTTTATTTAAAGAGTCCAATAATTTATATTTTACATTATTATATTCTTTATCTTGCATTAATATGTTCTTTTCATTTTGTATTGAAAAAGATTCAAATAAGAATCAAAATCTCTATATTACATCATTACTATTTAATTGAGCATTGTTATAATTACTAATTATATTTAATTCTGTGTGTACTTAATTCTTTCTTTTATAATTCTTCAACATTTTCTTGGATCTTAATCCAAGGCTTTTTTATGTTCTGAATCCTAAAACTTTTTATAAGTAACTACTCTCAAAAATTGCGAGATTTTATTTCATAAAAATATAGGATAAGAACCGAATTTGTATTCGCTATCCATCAATTATTAATCGACTATTCTAGGCATTAAGCCACACGTCATCCCATCAAAATATAATATACTATTACTCTTTATATTGGCCTTGGCTCCTCTTGGGATCAACACAGTAAAGTACAATATGAAGTAGAGGTTATACATTAAAATCGGTATTCATAAAATGTAATGAGAAAACAAGACTTACGATCTCCTTCATCATCGACCTCGAATTCCTCAGCATTATCGATGTCCAAAACATCCGCCATGGTTAAAGATACGATCTGAATAAAGCGAAATTAATTTCTCTGCTTTACTATATTTAATACGCGTTATCGTAGCTTCTTCTTCACATTATGACAAAGTCAAGTTATGTAGAGATCTATCCGGCCAATGAGAAACGCCACCGTCTCAGCCTAATGGCTCTCGCACATTGAACGCGACGAGCGACGAGTGGATGTGGGGGTTATGCCCGATTGCCCATGTTGCCGATTGACCAATTTAAAATAAAATTTAAAATAAAATTATTTGATTGGTTGATCCAGTGAAAAATCTCTAGGCATCGGTCGCTATAAATAACTGTCCAATTGCAACGTGATCGAACAAGACGCTTTCGAAAAGGGCCTCAGCCGCTTGTGCAGAGAATTTATGCGCCGACGGGTTGACCAACCTGGCATTTTTCGCGGCAACGCGCACAACGACGACGCGTTACAGAAACGGCTAGAGGAGAGACTGCGTGCGGTCTGAGGTGATTCGGTTGAGTATTCGAGCTTTTTGGATACGACGTTGCAACGACCTAGGTGAGTTCCAGTTTTCTAGTGTACGTCGTTGAAGTCGCATATGTCGATGCTTTCGACGCGATTCGCGAGCAACTATAATTCCGAAGAAGAGGAAGACGGCACACCGGTGAACGCGTCGCCAACGCCGCCATCTTAAATCAAAGCAGCGTTCCCGCGGTCGATCTTCACGGCGATATTATTGTCGTCGCGTCCACGAGGTTCATCCTCGCCAGACGGAGATTCAACAAGTGAATTATACGCACGATGGATCTTTGTCGGCAGACGTTCGAACTCGCACTAAATTACGTTACGTCACGATTGTATTGTTCCGGCACAATTGCGTCCACGCGCCGGTGCGAGTCGTCAGTTACCTCCGCCCCGTCCCCTCCCCCGCGGCTTCCCGCGCAGTTCGCCGTTTTATTTACGCGCTACCGAGTGCATGTGATTGTAAGTGAAAACTTATTCTCTAGTAAAAACTCGTTCTATCTCTATACGAGAGCGAGAATGACAATTCTTTGCTGCGAAATGTTTTTACCTGCTCGTGTTTAATCTTGTTTACACGCTCATGTAAACTCAAGCGATCCCAATTCGTTTCTATCTTTGATATGTGCTCCGTCTTTATATAGACGACCTCCTAATTCGTGCCAAGGATAAAAGTTAACAAAGAAACTCATTTCTCACTTCTGTATTTGCAGTATATACAATGAGTAAGGTTAAGGAATCTCCCCCGACAGATAACGAAGCGGAAGAGGAATTCAGTGTGGAAAAAGTTTTGGACAGAAGAGTTGTAAAGGGAAAAGTAAGATTTCGATATTTTCTAATCTTTGATTATTAAGACTGTTATCTCAAAAGAATTGTTTATGTGAATTATAGGTGGAATATTTCTTAAAATGGAAAGGATATTCGAATGATGAGAACACATGGGAGCCAGAAGAGAATCTGGATTGTCCCGATTTAATTGCTCAATTTGAAGAGCAGCGGAAGAAGAAGGAGGCAGCTGCATCTGGAAAGCGGCATGAAGAAAAGGAACAAAAGAAACGAAAAAGCAATAATACACCGACGCCCACTCAGGCTAAGAAAAAGGCAGCAGTGGAAGAAAAGAAGCTGGAAGGTAAAGGGAAGCATCGACAATTTTTTTTTATCTTTTCAATACATTAAAAAAATGCATCTTTATAAAAATATAAGATTCGTATTTGCGAATGTATCTTTCATCTTACAGGATTTGACAGAAATTTAGAACCCGAGCGTATTATTGGTGCGACAGATTCTAGTGGCGAGCTAATGTTTTTAATGAAATGGAAAGGAACTGACGATGCAGATCTGGTACCTGCACGCATCGCTAACGAGAAGTGTCCACAGATTGTGATCAAATTTTACGAAGAACGACTCACGTGGCACAGCCCAGCCCACGACGATGAAAGCTCTGCAAAAGCTGACCCGGAGTAGCATCCAGTTTTCCTTCATGATTTATTTTTATCACTGCAAGATATTCCACTGTAATAATTACCTTATTACCTATTACTCTAGGTTATTTACAAGTTTTTCTAACGTTTGTAGGTGAAAAATAAACATATGACTTTTCCAAACCATATTAATACAGAACACATTGTAGGATAAACTGAAAGTTTTAAACAAGAAAAATATTACTATTGGTACAATTGTCATTACTTAATGGATAACATAATGTATTTTCAAAGTTGTAAAAACGTGAATTTTTCAATGATAACATGACTTAGTAAGACGTTTCAAAATTAATATTTTATGTTCTAAGTAGTGTTTAAATATGTATACTCATTAAAAGTATTTTTGTTTCTAAGTGGCATATGCTTATTCAAACTGCTTTTTTTTTATATATGCTAAAAAAATTATACACAATTGAAAGTTCACATATATAAATTAGCTATCGTTTTAGCAGTGATGAACCTACTATATATATATATAAAAATTAATCGATCTGCGGATCTCAAATAAATATAAATTTAAAACAATAATATATAATATATACAATAAAATAATTTTAATACTTAATAAAATCGAAAAAGAATACGGGGAACAATTTACAACTTATGGGTACAGGATTAACCATCAATTCAATTAATCGATAAAAGACTGATCATAATTGCTGATCATAATTGTAAATTCTGAAAATCAGAAAGAAATATTAAATCTATATTAATTTGCAATGGTAAATTCTCTCATGAGTTATTCCCTTTTCTGTTGCTGCGTGTTACTGGAATACATTGTCAAATATAATATTACCCATTGCTAAAATGTATAAGGATAAATCGTGAAGGAATCACAATTATTGTGATGAAACTTTAATATAGTTCGTTAATTTTATCTTAAAAATTAAAAATTTTTAATTTCGAATTGCAATATTACATTCTATTAACAGAATTACCTTAACTTTATCACAAAGAAAATATGTCTGCACCATAAACTATTGCACGTATAAACGATCAAATAAATATCATAGTAATTAACACTTGTCTCAAAGAGAAATAAGTGCTTTTATATGATTAAATACAATTAAATGCGTGTTGTCCGTTTTCATATTGTTTATAGTATTGCCTTAGAATGAAAGAAACATCAGAAATTTATTGTATACAAATGTATAATTGTTTTTATGAAATGTGTTTATAACATATTTATCGTTTGAATTTTTTAACTCTGTTATTGTTCGATGATCGAGCGGATCTTCGCTTTTTGCCAAATGATCCCTTCAACCGCTGATGTCGTTTCACTTCCCAATCTATCTGTTTAGCACTAGCGCCATCACTGCTGTCGAAAACGTTACTGCCACCATGCTTTCCTTTCGTTTTACTTTGTTCCTCCAACATCTCGGCGAACTTTTCCGCAGATACGAATATATCGCTGTCAATTCCTCTTCCCTTTTTCTTGCCTTTATTCTTGGAATTTTTTACCTTCAACTTTTTATTCAAATTCAACATTAATTCGTTATCTAGACTCTCTTCATTCTCAGAACCAAATTCCATATCGCTCAGATCTTCGTTGTCTACATCCGCAAGATCGATATCACTTAAATTTTGTAGATCTTCATCACCTTCATTGAGATCAGATATATCTTCAGTAATATCATCTTCAGATTGATCATCGTTCTCTTCATTTTCATCATCATCTTCATCATCTTCATCATCTTCATTCTCATCTTCATCCTCATCTGAATCTTCATTCCTTTTTCCTAGAAATTATAAATATAGCTATAATAAAATATATTTGTCCCGATTTTCATAGCTATGAAATATCAAAGAAATCTTGGGCAAAGAAAATTATTTTGTCGCTTCTTATGTCAATAAAATTTTTTAATACGAATCTATTATGCGAAATTATTATGCGTAACGCGTTACCTTTATTTTTCTTAGGCACGATATCCGCCGCAATATCTAAATCATCGAAATCTTGGCTACCGCCCATACGATCTAACATATCGTTGAACTCTTCACTGTTAACACTCTCTGCGTCTTCGTCATCTTCGTCACTTTCATCTTCCTTCTTAATGCGTTTCTTCAACTCGTTCTTCTGCTTCAAATATTGATATAAAAATAATTCATCTACCGGTATTCGCTCCTCGCTTTCCTCGAGATATGCCGCGCTGTCAACTGGAAGGGATCGTACACCCTTAGGTGTATATCCAGCGCGCTGCGCTAAAGGATCGTTCTTCTTCTGAACTTTTTTTTCTTCCAACTTCTTCGGATTCTTAAAAACATAGCGGTCTAGGAAGCGAATCAATGTCAAATCCTCCAAAGGATCGCCTGTGTACTCAATCGATTTCCCTACGAATACAAATCCATAAATATCATTTCTGAGAAATGTGAACGATATATAAAATGTAAAATTTGTTACCTTGAATAATTTGATTCGCGAATAAAGCGACACTCGGATGGAAATGCCTAGACAGTGCTTCAAGTTCGGTATCGAGTCCTTTGCCTGCCCCTGCATAAAGTGGATTTCGACAGAAGGGATCGTACGACTTTACATCTTGCGCTTCAACTTTCACATCGGTCTCTTTTTTTACGTCAAGCTTTTCCGACGCGATATCTTCACCGACCGTGATGTTTGATAACATAATAGTGTTTTCTTCTTTCACTTTATTGTTTACTTCCGCTTCATTCTCTATTACATGAATGTCCTCCGTTTCCGATGAGCTGTCATTTATCTCGTATATGTCTTTTTCGATTTTGATAGGCTTATGCGATTTAAACAACATATGTCGCAGATCTTTGCGTCCTTGAAGAATCTTTGAAACCACGTATAGCATGGCACAAGCCACATTCGAGGGAAAATAGCACGTAATTTGCAAAATTCTTTTGATAAAGGCATATAAACGTAATATACTGTGATCACTTTGAAGGACTCTGTACAATAAGTTAAGAAACACCGCGTGTCTATTTGTCACTCCTATCTGCCGATCGAATAGTTTTTATAAAAGGCTGAATAAAATCGACTCGCTTGAGACTCATCTTTGCCTGTTATCTAAAAAAAGTCATTGCTTTTTTTTACAAACTGAAAACACAAATATCCGAAATCACAAATATCCAATATTACAGTAAATGTTACTCCTTAATACTTACTTGATGTAACAAACTAAGTGCATTGAGCGAAACATTAAACGATCCTAGATGTACAACTTTGTAAATGGAATCAATGTGTTCGTTTATTATTTTCGAATCTATCTTAGCAAAAGGATATGCTCTATTAACACCCATTAGAATTGCTGCCATCATTCTACTGTCGGGTTCGCCTTTTTTTAAACATGCTTTGAAAAATGCAAAATATACTTCAATCAGTGTAGCAGCTATCTCCTCATCATTTCGATTCAAGACATATTGCGCCAACAGACATATAGCGTAATACTGAGTACGTTGGGACACATTTTTCCTGAATAACAGCTTCTCAACTTCGCGCAGAACTATGAGTTTCATGTTTGGATGCTCATGCAACAATTTATTAATACAAAACACAGCTTTGGATCCGACTTTACTGCTCGGGTCGCCAATTTTATTCACGAGCAACTCCAATAGCTTATGTTCCTGTTCAGCATTGCTTATCAGCAAATCGGTCATTGTACATATGGCTTTCTCCCTGTTTGTGTCTACTGTATCTGAGGCCACTGCAGACAGATTCAGAACGAAACGTTCGTATTGCTCACGTAGCTGGTCTTCAAAATACCAATGCGCCAACAATTTGTTCCTGGCAGCATTTGTTTTAATAATGGGATCCGATTCAGTTTTTATATCAAGTCTATCCAGATCCTGTTCCTCCAGTTTCAACAGCTTGAATTTAGGATGCAGTAGATCAGTCAGAAAGAGTTCCTTCAACGATGCGATGACCATGGCACATTGATTATGCTTGGCGCCTCGTACCTGAGACACCAAAGATACAAGCCGGCCAAGATTGCATTTCGGATTGTCCTGCACCAGCACTATGTTGGCGGCTACCTTGTCCGATGTGGTACCCCGTTGCAACGCCATTTTCAACCATTTCATCTCCGAATCGTGCGATTTGGATTGTTTCAACTGAAAGGCGGCGGTTTCCGCGTCCAGGTACTTCTTACCTTCATCCCGTAGATGCAAAACATCTGCCTCAGATTTTGAGTGTTTGCAAGGTCCTTCTATCTTCTGATATTCCTCATACCACTTCCGACTATGTGTAATTTCGCCAATGGTGAAATCATTAAATTTTTTCATTATCTGAAATCAATTCTAAAGTAATTTTCATGACAGACATTTTCATGACAAGAATATAAAATATATAAATTTAAATATATATATATATATATATTCAAGCAAATAACGCAAAATTTTAAGATATTTTGTAAAATAATACTCGCAATTGTTATTATTGATTAAAAAAATATAATGTCACATGGTCCAGTGCTTACATTGTAATTAACCTCAAAATCATTGACAAATCCACTAACCAGATACCGACTGCATTCAAGAGGTTGACATGTGTCTCTTGAAACCACAGGTTGAAACGGATGAAAATTACAAAAGTGGAGAAATTCACTAGACTATCTGCGACTTCATAGGCCTAGGAATGAAAAAGTACAGACAATAGAAATAGGGAACAGGCAACAGATTTCGACCAATCAGAAATATTCTTCAGCTGATTCGAAATCTGTTACCTGTTCCCTATTCCCTGTTCCTGTATCTTTTTATTATATCCCAGATTTAAGATTTGATTAAAATAAAAAGAGTTGATAAGTAAAGAAAAGAAAATTACAAAGTTGAAATTCTCCCATGTTCTTTTTACAAAACATGTTTGAAATATGTTCGAAAATTTTAATTAATGTGTAAAGTAATCTTTAATTGTTTAGTAATCAGAACAAAATTTCTCGATATCTTTACAATTAAATGCTACTATGCCCATCTTTTAAAATTTTGTAACGTAACCTTGCATGATTGTAATGGAAAAAAGAAACATCAATTTTGAAAAGAAAATATTTAATATTTATTAATTATGCACTATAAACTTATTAATATACAGATATTTTATAAATGATTAAGTATATGCCATGAATTTTGAATATTTTTTTCAAAATTGATATTCTCTTTTTATATTCTAATCATGCTACATGCTTCTTAAAAAAGCATGGCTTCCAATGCTAATTTTTTTCACATACTGAAAATGGCTAATTATAAAAAACCGCCCAACCAAATCGATCTACATTTTTATATCCGTATATTTTTATGATATATTGAAAATTTATTTATTGAAATTATTTTATTGCATTTATTGAAAAACAAGTATGCGAGCTTATAGCGTAAGGTAAATAAAGTAAAGCGAAGATATTCGACGATAATTTTAGAAGTTTCATACATTTTATTTTTATATTCTTAAATTCATTGGAAAATATATACGATTACTTGACAAGTAATCTATGTCATATTAATTTGTCTCGTTAAAGTGATATATGTACAATTTCGTATCATATAATGTATGCCATCACGCATCTCTCTGAGTTTTCAACTTAACAATGTCATCCAGAGTTGCTATATTACACATAAAAGTACAGAGTATATACTCTTACATCACAGATTTTACTTTGCGAAACGTAGAGCATTTCTGACTAACATAGAAGTTTAAATTGTTCCCGAAGCAATTAAATCTAATTTTTTTTATTTTACGAATTTGTTTAATTTAAATTGCATAGAAATAAAATTATAAATATTAATCACTTTCGAACTTTAAAAACCTGGTTTCATCAAAAAGGCTGATAATTATTGAGTTAATGACACTAGAATTAAATGAAAGATGGTAGCCAAAAATAAAAACCGGAAAGTTAGAATAAATGATGTTCATTTCATCTTTTTGATTGAGCAAAGTCAAAAAAACAACTCGTGTTAAATGACACGAATACAATCAAAAATTATTAGTAATGTGACTAGACCGAAAATAAATTAATTTCTGAGATGGAATCAACTTGACAGGAACATTGAGAAATTACTTGCCTAAATCAGTATTATTATAATCTCTAAATTTTCCCTGAATTTGTATTATAATGCAAATAAATACGCTTATATGTCTCTCGATACGTGACGATCACGTTTTGCTCTAAGCGATATAGAAAACCTTTAAATTGTATGCTTAATAAATAATGCTGTAATGCTTAATAAACATGCAATTCTGCATAATAACACATAATTAGTAGCGTATAAATCTTATAGTATATACTTTTTAGAAAAATTAAAAGATAAGAAAAAAAGATCTAATTATTTAATCCTCGATGTCTTCTTTTCATTCTTGCATACGGTCCGATTTCAGGATCCATCACGAAGTCGTACAGAACAGAAACCCACGAATTGTGTTGTGGCAAGTTATCATAAAATTCTGCAGCTATACGTTTAACCTGCATAAAATAATGAATTATATTGCTGTGTAATAATCCGTATCTAAGCTCATCTCTCCGACATACTTCTGGTAATCTCGAACCAGGCACTGCAGGAAAGTCATGGTGCTCGTTATGATACCCAACATTGAAGGTGATGAAATTTAAAGGACCGTAATAACTATATGTTTCAAAGCCTTTTCTGTACATATAATGCTCTGATATAAAGTGTCCTGCCACAGGATGCAATCCCATTGCCATGAAGGAACCAATAAGCAAGTAAAACAGTACTTTACCACCTGAAATCACATCTCTTTTATGTAACTCAATTTCATCATTTCTGTCAGCGTTATTGATGTTAATTATACATTGATTCTTTTTGCAAATTTGAAAACTTACCGAAAAAGTACCACACACAACCATCAAATACCAACTGTATGACTAAATTGATGTATTCTAAAGAAGTTGGTACTTTCGGATATGTTACAAGAGGTCGGAATGCATAGAAAAATGGCTGCAATAGTATCCAACAAAACTTCCCGAAAGTTGTACAAAATAATTTCGCCTCTAATAATGTTGGCAAATCTGTATCTAATTTTTCATCTCCCTGATACTGAAGACACAGTAGAAATAAACTTCGTAAATATAATTGAAAAAATAATATATGCTTATTAAATGATGAAACAGATTTTTACTATTTCTCATGATACTTACACGATGATGTTCGAGATGATACTTTTTAAAACTGATAGATATCGGTATTCCTATTGGCAGATTTGCGAAGAAGCCAAATAGCCGATTAGCCATAGGCCTGGCATGTCCAAAAGCAAGATTATGAGATATCTCATGTACTGCTGCAAAGTACAAAACATAGATTAGCACAAATGTATTAGAAATGTTAATGCAAAAATTAGCATTTGTGCATAATGCTTGATAAAATGCAGTTTTACTATGTTAATGAATTAAATACATACCAAGCATAAGAGAGTGATTTATTACACCTCCAAAACAGTACGCTAACAACAAGAGTTTTGGATAGCTCAAATCTTTGACAATAAAAAATGATAAGAACTGCACTAATACCATCCCTGTGACAATCCATTTGAAATTTGGATCATATCCAAACAACCGTTTAATTTGTGGATATTTTTCTGAAAATAATTGTTTGTAATAAAAATTTAAAAAATGATGATTAGATAAACTACCCGATTAAAAGATTTTTTATCTTTTAATTGTTCGCAACATTATTATAGAATTTACAAAAATTACTACAATACAAAAAATATAAAGTATATTCACTTCAAAAATAATAACAGATTTATCAAAAATATATTTTAATAAGTTTATCTAATATCATCTTTTAATGTGTACATGACAGAGATTTAGCAAATAATAATAGAAATAAATAATTACAATAAACCAACTTCAAAGTAGACTTCAAAAATAGACTTCACATTTTACATATTAAATGAATTAAAGATATATTTATAAACTCAATTAATGTTTCATAATATTACAGTATGAATAATAAAGTATTATTTTTCCACAAAAACATTCGATGGATCAGGATAAAAGATTTTCAGAATAGACGTGGTTGAATGTATTTGTCAATGTAACTTAACTTTAATCTAAATTCAAGTTATTCTCTTTTTTTCCGATTCTTAGAATCTTAGGAAAAAAGATGAAAAGCAAGTTGAACCAAAATTAAAGTTAATTCACATAGAGATAATAATTCGGTTATACAATTAAGAAATCTTCCAAGAATATAAATATTTAATATCTATATTGAAAGTAATCGTGAAATATCAGTGATGATCATCTAATCTCTTCTCGTTTTCCACTTGTCATACCTAGAATTATTTTGCGCCGTGAAGCGTGCGGCTCCTCCGTGTAGATCCATTCGAAATCCGTCCTTGAAACCCGCTGGCCCATTCTTCTCTCGTCTGAGATTTCTCGTTACAGAAGGCAACAGAAATCAATCCTTATGACGCCTAAAGCCGAGTGGCATCGCCGGCAACGGCAAGATGTGGACACACGCTACGCATATACACGCCCTTGAGTTCACGATTTCGTCACATTACCTGATACTGCCGATCTTTTTTTTTCTTATACACACAGTTACGTTATACAGGGTGTTCTCGTCTCGCCGGATAACGGCCTATTAGTCATACATTTCGCCTTTTGAATATGGAGTCAGTCCCCTCTCACCCTTCATCCCGGAATGAATTATGCTTTGATTGAAAAAATGGATAAGCTCGCAGATTTTAAATTGAATATTTACAATTTTTTCGTCGGAATAAACTCGAGAGAGAGAGAGAGAGAGAGAGAGAGAAAAAAGAGAAATTGGAAAGCGGAATTATATCTATTTACATCGAAGATTGGTTAAATTGTCGAAGCCGGTCGATCTCTCATTAGATCTACAACCGGTTCTCTCTTCCTTCTCTTGATTTATTCTCTCAATGCATCCGAGTGTCTTGAAAAGTCGTTCGATGATTCCGGAACATTCTATATGTGAAATCATGTAGAGGGTTACAAAGAACGATAGGCCGTAATCATGCGACACATGATATGATACACGCGCGGAAAATTATCTCCTCTTGCGAGACAGCTGTGCGGATATTTACCTCTTTGCGAACGCACAGTAAAAAAAGAGTTATATAAAAAATGATTACGTGTGCGATAAGCAATCCCCTCTCTCGGAGATGTATTCGGGAAAACATTCTCTCTCCCCTCTTTCCCTCCCTCCCTCGCCCTATCTCTATGTTTTTTGTGATTTAAGATTTCTGAGATGAGAAAATAAGAGAGAAAAATGAAAAAAATGAGTAAATAAGAGAGAGAGAAAGAAGAGAAATAGTCGTTAAATATTTATTACTTGCATATGGCAACGCGATTTTGCGTGTGTTGTATCATCAATGTATGGTGGTGAATTTCCTTTATAATTCTTGATCA